TTCTTCTTCTTCTTCTTCTTCTTCTTCTTCTTCTTCTTCTTCTTCTTTGAAGCAGGTTCACCAAATTCATAGAGAAATTTGATCAACCAACCAATGATTTCAACTTTTAGAAAACACTCTGCTTTGTGCTTCTAGCAATGTGCCTGTAGCTCTTACATTTAGAAAGCCTCATGTCCTCACCACTGCACCAACAAGTCTCTCCTCTTAATCTGTCCTCTGCAAAACCAGCAGAACTGCTTACCCTAATTCTGGAAAGAAATACATAGTACCCGTTGTTCCCTAACAGTATGCATGCAGATTCTCTCCAGGGAACAGAGTCCTCGTAAACAAAGATATCCAGAAGTTACATTATAGACTCATTCTTGAGATAAACTTCTGCTTAATCACTGATCCTTCCAGGAATAACAACAACAGAAAAGATGCAAATAAATTGCTCTGACATTCTTGAGTTAGTATTGAATCTTCATTTTCTTCCCATGATGGGAAGGAAAACTGAGTTCTTTCACAAAAGAAGGAGTGGAGAGCAGAGGAAGAAATAGAAAGAAAAAGAAAAATATTTTGTCCCCTGGTCCCAGCAAGTTCCAGAAGCCCGGCTTTAGGCTTGTCTTAATCATGACACTAGAGGGAGTCAAACCCAGGAATCTGCAAAGGATCCCAGGGCTGAACAGCAAGGGCTGTTTCACCTTTCTCTTTAAACAAACACTCCTTCGCTTTGGCTGCCCCAGTAAAGCACTCATATCTGGCGCGCTGCGCTTACTCTGAGGTTACTGTTTCTAAAAATAGTTTTCTGAAAAATCTGTCTAGTGGGCTGGGAAACACGCAAGTGGGGTGTGGAGCCTGAGAGAGCACTGTTCTCCTGCCTCAGTGGGCCTCTGCAGGCTGCGGGTAGGAGAGCACCAAAAAGGGGCTTGCCCTAGATTGAGAGTATGCCTTGGGATGCAAATAGACTCTTCTCACTGTTCAGAGGCTGCAGGTTGGCTGTGAGCTAGGAGCCCCAGAAGTGGACACCACCTGGCAGGTGGCTATGTTTCCAAGGCTGCTCCTAGCCCCCACCTCTCCATCACACACAAACTACACACAGCGCCAAGGTGCTGCGAAGGGCCCCCAGGTCGGCTTTTAAAGGAGGTACTGGTGGATGAATGAGGTTTTCCCCACTGCTGCTGGTCTCTCAACCACTCGGTGCTGTGGAAGTGCCGTGGGGGTTAGAGAGTTCCAGGGTATATCGTACACGATGGGAGGAGATAGACAAAGCCAGGGTTGGAGATTCTATCCATTTTCTCTCTCCTGGTTTTGTCTCTGGTCACATTTCTAATTCCTAAGAGAGAATATTAGCACTTTTTTTTTTTTAATCATTTTCGTTTTTGTTTGGATTTGCTGTAAAAATCCCCTGAAGGCCTAAAATAAAGACCTTCTAGTGGAATTTCTGTCTCACTGGAGGGTATTTTGAGCATTCTTTTTTAGATATCCCCACACTATACAAAGCAGAGATCCAGCCTTGTCTCTGTCACCAAATTGCCTGAAGTTAGGATATTAAATGTAGTGTCCCTCAACACCCTGGGGCTTCCAGGTGAGGGGGTAGGGCTCAGCAGTTAAGTCCTGGGGACATAGCAGTTACACAAAGCCAAAGGAACCCAGCTGCCTCCCTGATACACAGATCACCCAGTTCACTCCCAGAGACACTCCATCCTCCAACGATCTTCCCAAGAAAGATATTGGAGGAAAGGGCTGGTCTGTTTCCCTGATAAATTCGTAAAAGACAACCGTCTGTGTAGATTCTGGGAAAGGCCACTTTCAGAAACCTTAAACTTTCAGAATTATTGTTAAAATGAATGTATCATGACCAAGCCTTTAAATTAGAAATATCAGTCTGGACACTGTGCAACTTCTGAGGCTTGGTGCCAGCTCAGCTCATATGTAACTGACTGCAAACAGTGCACTGAACTTTTCCAAGCCTTAGGATTGACTATGATTATGATTATTTTAAATAACACTATCAATGGAAATATTCTATTAGATCCTTTCTGGTTTAAAAGTTCCATGATTTCTGTCTCTCTCTAGAAAATGTGAATTTTTGTATGTGCTCACCTAAAAAGTCAAAAAAGAAAAGTCTAGGGTAAAGGGCATGCAACCCCAGGCTGCCTTGTTGTATTGTGTAGGAGGGAGAAATTTCAGAAGGAACCAAGTTTCATTTATTCTGCCTGATATGGTTATCTCTAAGGCTTGTGCCCATGCAGGCAAGATGAGGGTGCAGAGGGAGGGGAGGGGGACACCTTTCCAAATGTCAAATGTTAAGCGAGGGCTTTGAACTCTGACAATTGAGGCTTCCGGTAAC